GGCCTCGGACCACAGATGTAGAGAGAGAACTGGTAGTGCTTTACTTACATTTTCCAAACGCTTACTCCCCGTTACAGAATACATGTAATACTAATGCGCAAATATGTAGAAAACGTGATTAGTAATGAGAGACGTCACGCCGAAATCAAGAGCAATATCATGATCTAATCATTGTTATTCAAATACATGTTTGTACTCTATTGTCCCATTTTGATGTTGAAATATCATTGTACGTACTCATTTACATTTTCTTAGTCAATAATTGTCTGATGCGAAAAAAGATCACTACAATGGCGCCCGAAAAAGAGACACAGGACAGAAAAAAAGAAAGCATTATCATGACCCCAACAAAAGAAATATATTAACTGACGATCTAGAACCGCGGAGGCCGGTCGTGGTCAAAGAATTGCTTTCGAAAAAAAAACTTGAAATGTTGTGAAACAAACTTTTTAAATGTCAAATTTCTCAAAAACTAGGCACTGTGCAGATAGAACTTTGTAATAGTCTATGGTAGCGTTTTACCCCCAAAACTAATTTGGACACCAAATAACGCTGAAAAGAATTATAGAGAGACCGCGCGATGCCAGTGCGCTCACAAAAACAAAAATTTGCTAGTGACATCCATATTGTTTTGTTCGAGATGAGCTCTTATCACATTTGCAACATGAGGGCGGGCATTATCGTGTTGAAACACAAAGCCAGGTCCATTGGCATTCAGAAACGGTAAAACATGAGGAACAACAACCTGGTCCTCTTAACGAACTGCTGTGAGATTACCATTGACCACAACCAAGTGTGTCCTTCCTGTGTACGATAGCCCTCCCCTCACCATGACGCAGCCTCCCCTAATTATGTCCCTCTCTCGAGGATACACTCATCCGAACATCGTTCATTTGGACACAAATCTTCGTCTATCACCTCCCTGGAGACAGAATCACGCTCTAAAGCAAAACACACAATTTTCCTCAAATCGCGTTTTGCGCTTTTTGGGAGGTGGTCTTCTTGTCGTGAGTCGTTTGTGTATAAGTTTGTTCAAAAACTAATCTTACATAGACTATCGCTTCCCGTTGAATAAGCTAAAATAATTTACCAGGATTATTTTTGTAGCGCGATTATAATCTTTTCAAAATTACGCCTGACATCTATGGACAGTTACTTTTATCCGAGGGTTCGTATAAAGTGTTTGCGTCTTCTGTGCTTTTGCTTTTGCTGAGGAAGGTCTGGAGTCTGGAGCATGGGGTGAGACCACGCAGAGCCAGTGCCATTAGTGGGAGAGAGAGAGAGAGAGAGAGAGAGAGAGAGAGAGAGAGAGAGAGAGAGAGAGAGAGACAGAGAGAA